CCGTATGAGCCATCAGGCGTTACCAAATTCCCTTCGACAAATCCTGAATTTTCAGGGGAATTCGAGAATGTTCCTCTTCGAATTGATTGATCGTTCAATGATTTTAACTTCCGCCGCCGCGCCGCGCCGCGCCGACCGCACCGTGTTTGGCGCAATGCGTAAAGTATTCACGCAGTCCTGTAGGCGCTATGCGTTTCACGCGGACCGGACTGTGTTTGGCGCAATGCGTGAAGTATTCATGCATTCTTGTAGGCGCTATCCGTTTCACGCTGACCACAATAACCGCACTGTGTTTGATGCAATGTGTGAGGTATTCGTGCAGTCTTACAGGCGCTAATATGTGTTACATGCCGAATGCCGCGTCGAGGGCTTTTCCTTTTCATCTCAAGTCCTTGTCATCATTTCTCCCTAAGTCGCGCCGTTCCAGGCCAAATTGTGTGTTTGGTTTCTCTCGTCTTAACTCGACTAATTAAAGGTGCTGTCTCTTGTATCACTGAAAGACGACAAAATTAGAAATTACTATACTATCAGGAAATGAGAGATTTTGTAGCCTTTTCTCGTTTGTAATTTTCTTTTCTAAATCCGATTTTTTTCTTATACCTACATTTAAAAAAATTGCAAAATTTGCCGCCCCCTAGATTTGCCGCCATGGGCCGCGGCCCATGTGGCCACGCCCTTAATCCGGCCCTGGTTTGTGCGTCGATAAGTGCGACTAGGGCGAAAGGTGACCGTACGTCGGTGATTATTTTGGTCGTTAAGTCGTAGTAGAGTCCCTATAAATTGGACGTGTTTATGCTAGAAGGAACTATGTTCCATTCAAACCCTAAGCACGTAGTTTCTTTTTTGCGGAAATTTTGAGACGTCGCAAGACGATTGTGATACCTCAGCCGGGAAGGGTCGATTTGGAAACGTCCAAAGGCTCATACGGCGTTTTTCCTCGGCACGGCAGTCTTGGAATCTCGATTTTTTTTCTGCATCATTAGATTATCACGAATATTAAAATGAGATTTTTTTAATATGCGCAGTTTGTGCGTCGATGCGTGCGACCAGGGCGAGATGCGGCGGCGAGCGACCTTGAACTAGAAACGATCGACGCGCGATTAATGGTAGCGGACAGGTATGGACACAGGCGCAAGCGTCCTCTCGAGCCAAGATGCACGAGCGCGCGCGGCCGGCCGGTGGACGAATCCGTCGCGGCTACCTTGACGCGTCGTAGTCGATTTGTTTTAATAATTAGATTGTAAAGTCTCTCCTGCGCAGTCGCAGTTGTAGGGCCTCATCGGACATTCGTTGCCCCATCGTGGGTTGGCACTCCCGTTCTGCCTAGAGTACCTGTATAACGAGAGTATGGACAGATCGCTCGCTTTATGGAGCATCCAGCACCAGCCCACCTTCAAACTAGGGGCTTCAAAGAGGCTCATCGATGGAACCGTTGACTGTTGCCTTTCAAAGATCGTCGGCCCAACGATCTTTGAAGGTAGCCGATGTGTTCGAGATACATCACAGATCAGATTTTGAAACTTTCAAGGAATTCCGTGCGGAAATGGCGGAATACAATTTTGGGGGTTCCCAACAGACATTTCTTTTGACCCAGGAGCACACACAAAATTTCAAGTCCCTATCCCAGTTTGTACAAAAGTTACAGGATGTTGCCTGGTGCTTGTCGTGCGGGACTTTTGAATCACCCTGTAGGATGGGGTCAGTCACGGGATATGGACCTTAGAAATAAGAGAGAACAAATTTTTCCGGACAGCAAAAGGACTTTTTGAACAAAAGTAGTCTATATCTGTTTGGATTTTTGAAAAAAGACGTACTGACGACGGTAAAACTGCAATAACGCGTATCTCTGTTAGCGCCGCTACGGACTTCCTGTTCCTTAAATTGAAACACACTCAACATAATTTTATTGGAAACTTTTGTGATTATTTATCTCTGTCATGAGGATCTGTAAAAATTTTCAGACATAATACTGGTTTAGTCTTTTGAGTGAGCAAAAAGGCGAGGGTTGCCTTCAATTTTATCGGTTAGGCAACTATTTTAACACATAGGAGCTGTGTAGCCTATCATTCGAAATTGAAGGGGACGGTTTATACATCGAAAGCTCGCGACAACTATTTCACTAACAAATAAACTTGGAAACCACGAACGTAATCAACGTAAAATCACAGAAAGTGCGAGGGTCGAAAGACTTAAACACCGGAGTAGAAAAAAAGGCGCATGGAAAAAGGCATCATTTCAAACTTTTCTCTACTTGAGAACTTGAGCTTCCAAGTGGGCTACGAGTGCTGTATGAGTACAGAGTACACATAGTTTGCAAGGAACGAAATATGGGAAGAAATCGATTATAACATACAATAAAGCGATAAAGTTGTCACCATTTCGTTCCGAAATGCAGAGCATAAAATCACTAGTAAGCAACGCAACAATAGTAGTTCTTGGGCGCTAAGAATTCCCCGACAATTTCCATTGATAGACAGAAACTGCCCCAAGGCGTCGAAATAGATGTCTATTTGTCGATATTTAAAGGCGAACTACGCTGTCGTGCTGAGATAAAACGCCGTATGAACCTTCAGACGTTGCCAAATTTCCTTCAATAAAACCTTATTTTACTAGGAAAATCGTGAATTTTTCTCCTGAATTTTTCCGGACAATTTTGTCTGCAAATTTCAAGGAAAAATATGCATAATCGTTCTCGAAAATACATGTTTCATCTAGGGCATTTTGGCAACTCTCGGATGCTCATACGGCGTTCTTCCTTAAGCACGGCAGTAGGAATACGGGCGTCGCGTTGTAAGAACATTTGAAATCATTATTTTATAGAAAATGTTGAGTATTTTCCATTGAACGTTTTAGAAACGACGGCTTGACTGTGAGAAAACTTCTGTAGGAAATTGAAAAAGAAAAACCCTCCACAAATTTTCCGGAAAATTTGTGATTTATCCGAAAAAATTCTACGAAATCCTCCTTACCGTGGCAGTATGTAGAGCTCGAGACACTCTGTTTCACAAGCCCCCCAAATATTCCTGCGCCAATATTCTTACCGATTTTCAGAATTTTGGGATCTTGAAACCCTGTCCCTCCCTATCTCCGGGACGGGGGGGGGGGGGAGAGGGGAGGGGCTAAATTTTCTAGACTGAATTTAAATGCGAGAACTGGCAACGCAGCAGCGTCATGATGAGCCATGACATGCTGAAGACTCGAAATCAGTGTCAATATAGCCTATGTGCTGCGCCGTGAAATTATGTACATACAAGGCCATGCACTGGTCGTCAGATTTACAGATCGAGGAATTTTTTCAGTGAACTTGCTTCTCTCGCGGGTTCTTTGCGAGGATGCGGGGAAAAAATTTCCGCCAAAAAATCCGACAAACCTCAACTGCGAACAGATACGATAAGTACGCATGCTTCGTTTGAACTAAATGGTTGTTTCCAAAAGTGCCGAAAGGTTCAAAATGGATTCTGTAGTTTTTTCTTTTCTTTTTAAATTTACACTTTTTTTATTCGAAACACTCCCTTGAGAAATCATCTTGTGCACTAAAATCCCTATGTCCTAGAGGCAGTTTCAAGGGAACCATGAGTCAAAGAAGTTGCAAAATTTCAAAATGTAAAAGGGCCAAACATTCAAATGAATAGTTTATCTCAAGGTTTTACGTCTATTTTCACGGGAAAATGGAATTGCTGATTTAACAATTCTGTAGTTAAAAAAAGGGTCCCGACATGTTTCAATGTAGATTTTACAATTTTAAAAAAATGCTCGTTTAACCTTCCACTATTGTACAATGAACCGCGTCAAACAGAAAGGAACTAACAATAAGTCACATCACCTATTGCCATTTAATTGTGGGTAATTTAATGTTTTAGGTGAAAATGGTTGTGCGGATTTTCGTGCAAATTCCGGTAAATTTTCTCCATAGTGCAAAGCAAATTCCTCAACATTTTCAAAGAAATCCGCAAAAACGTTCTCTCGTAAAAAATTAAATTTCCCAGTCAAATTTTGCAATAGCTGATGTGGCTTGGTTCCTATCTATTGAACGCGGCCCAAATGTACATTTGAAACACGCAGGACATATTTTTTAACAATTTAATTATTAAATCAGCATCAGGGCCAGATTTACGTATTTGTCGCTCATAGGCCGCCTGGATTTTTCCGCCCCCTTCTCATTCGTTTTGAAACATCAATAAAAATCATCAAGTGAACGTGCCGAAGGGGAAGGGATGCATAAGACGCGTTTACTCGTGTAGGACACATTTTTTGCGAAAGCCCTGTCAACACTACTAGCAAAATTTCATGGAACTTGACGCGAAAATTAAGTTTCGTAAACCTATCTCTGTAGGGACAACGCCTTCTATATATAAGGAATTAACAAAAATATTATGAAAGAACCAACAAAAATGTCGTTTAATAATTTTAACTTCCGCCGCCGTGCCGAGCTGACCGCAATGTGTTTGACGCAATGCGAGAACTATTCATGCAGTCTTGTAGGCGCTATGCATCTCACGTCGCGTCGACCATTGCTGACCGCACTGTTTGCCGCAATGCGTGAAGTATTCATGCAGTCGTGTAGGCGCTAATATGCTTTGCATGCCGGCCGCCGCGCCGAGGGCTTCTCCTATTCATCTCAAGTTCTCATCGTTGCTCTCTGCGCCGCGCTGCTCTAGGCCAAATTGCGTGTTTGGTTTCTCTCTTAACTCGACTTATTGAAGGTGCCGTCTTTTGTATCACCGAAAGACGACAAAATTATAAATTACTATACTCTCAGGAAATGGGGGATTTTGTCGCCTTCTCTCGTTCGTATTTTTTTTTTTCGAAATCCGATTTTTTTTATACCTACATTTTAAAAAAAAATTGCAAAATTTGCCGCCCCCTAGATTTGCCGCCATGGGCCGCGGCGCATGTGGCCACCCCCTAAATCCGTCCCTGATCAGCATTCAGCAATCCATTTTTCCTGTGTTTGACGAGAATTTTTAAGAAGTAAATAAATACATGATTTACTTTTGCAGTTCCAGATCACTCGATTCGAGAGGACTCTGAGAATGGAGGAGGTGTGGTTCCTTGCTGCATGAACTGCAAAGAACTGGTGGAAAACATAACGGATTGCAGTATTTGTCTCGAGCCTTTTCTTAAGAGTGGGATTTCCTCGTGTCAAAAGTGCGGAAATCTGACGTGCTGGTCTTGCGCTCAGAGGCTCTTCACATGCCCTTTTTGCAGAGTTGAAATGGGATTCTCGTGGCAGAGGAATGTGGCACTCGAGAAGCTTGTTAATAAACTTGAGCTACCCTGCAGAAATGCCAAGTAAGTGTGATTTATTACGTACAGAATTAAGTACTAGGAAAATTTGATGATAATATTGGAAATTCTTGTACGATCTCAATCAAGTGTGAACAATATCAGGGGCCATTCAAGTATTAGGTGACGCACTTAAAGGGGAGGAAGGGGGAGCCATTGTTACAGTGCATTACAAGGGGGAAGGGTGGCATTACCTATTTTCTCCTGTGTTTTACTTTTTTAATGGAAAACTGGGCATTACTCTTGTCTTGAAATATTTCGAGTAAATTCTTTATAATCTAGGTGAAATTCATAGAACATTTCAAGACATAGTGTATCTTACTTTTCGGTTTGAAAATTAGAGCAAGAACAAAATTAGGCAAGAACAAAGTAGGTAGGTCAATGCCAGAAGTCCTCTCCCGATTCGACTAATCCACGAGTTTCCGGATCGATTCCGTATATTGCCCCTTCAATTACGAGTGATACTGCGCGTTTCCCGGTCGATTCCGTATGTTGCCCCTTCAATTGCGAGTGATACCGCGCGTTTTTCGGTCGATTCCGTATGTTGCCCCTTCAATCGCGAGTGATACCGCACGTTTCCCGGTCGATTCCGTATGTTGCCCCTTCAATCGCGAGTAATACCGCACGTTTCCGGGTCGCTCCGGGCTGATTCCGTATGTTACCACTTTGATCCCGGATTGATTCTGGTATAGTAAATCAGTTGATAAGATTCAAATTCAGAAAAAACGGAAACTCTATTATACACTCTAAAGAAAGCCAGGAGTCTATAGACAGTCCATATTCATTTTTACGTGAAATATTATAAAGATAAAAAAATTAATATTAGTTACTTTAATATGTAACACAAAATGGCTGTTGTGGTGCTACCTATTTTTTTTTTAAATTTAAAAAAAAAATTTAAAAAAAAAAAAAATTTTAAAAAAAAATAAAAAAAACCTCCCATTGTGGTGAGGATTATCTGAAGATTTGACCTTAATATTAATCTGAATTCTCAGTATATAATGTTGATGTTTGCAAACTGATTACAGATGGGGCTGCAAGCTGCGTATGGTCAAGAGCCTGCGTTCAAGTCATGAAAACAAGTGTAAATTTATGCCGGTTTACTGCCCGCTGAAACAGTACTGCAGTTGGCAAGGTGACATCAACAGCCTATCACAGCACTTGGCTGAAGTGCACTCCCTGACCCTCCTAGCCGGCAACCGAATAACCGTTGAAATCTCTTCCTTCCGGGCCAAAATGAAGCAAAGCGAACGTAGGAGCCAAAAATATATCGTCCTGCTCAACTGCTTCTCCATGTTCTTTTTCTGTAAACTGTCCCTTTACCGTAAAAAGTTGACCGTAGTTTTCATGCAAGTAACCGATATGAACGCTATCATGTACAGTAACTCAGCGAATCAGAAGTTCAGTGCATGGTTGGAGGTAAGCAGTTCGTTCCGAACGATTAAAGGTGTCATGCCCATCTCGAGCGTCAACAAGAACAATAAGGAGCTCCAGTTATCGTGCGAGAGTTTACTGTCTCCATGGAAACAGACGGAGGATCGGGTGCGCATTGGAATTGTCGTGCACCCATCACAATGAGATCTCAATATCGTGTTACCAATTTGTACATTACTCCTGAATCTAGTCACTCAACCCAGGTTGAATTTAAAGTAAGGGCATTCTGAGACCCACTTGATTTGAATAATGGAGCTTTCAACTTTCACAGGCTTGAAGTAGGATCAAGTGGGTAACAACTGCTTCTCATTTAACCAATTATAAAATTGTTAAAATATGAAACCATACTGCCTTGAAAAAATTGTTAGTATTTGATTTAAGCTGGTAGTTTTCGTCATAATTTTTCAAGCAATGAGCAAATCAGTGAGCTACGAGGAAAAAACTTTGGTTGAAACATTGTTTTCATTATTATTAGCTCTCTCGTACAAGTGTATTTGAGGTTCAATGGTTTGAACATGTGAAAGCACCGGATAAAGATTGTATAAAAACCTTTCAAGGTTGTCAAATCACAGTTGGAAAATTAAAACTGAAAAAATAGTAAGAACTTACTTAACCCATAAAACCCATAAAAACCCATCTGTAACATTAATTTTTAATGGGGGTGCATTTCACTTCCCATCTGTATAATGATCAAGAATTTATCTGAAATTCATTTTAGGCTAGTTACTCTTCAATTTTAGAAGCCATCTGCCAAGAAAAATGCAACTAAATAAGTTACCATTATAATTGATTTTTTACTTTTTTACGCCCATTCATTGCCAGTGTATTGCATGCATGGAAAGTAATTTTACCGCAGTTTACCAAAATAATGACAGATAGATTAATAAGTCTTTCTAGAAAGTCTTTCAGAGCTGTGCTTCTCTTTTCTTTTGAACTGTCAGTGAAAACCTATTTTATCAGCAGCCTAACTATTGAAAAAAATTTTCTCCCAATGAACTTCCTTGTGAAAAACTACTTGGATTTTCATCTTCTTTCACCTGTTATTTCCGTAGTGTACTATATAGGATTTTGCTCTGTTTGTAAAATTTGTTTTTAGTCACTGGTACACCTAAGTATTTATGTGCATGGATGAAAAAGAAATGTGTTTTTGTTTAAACAGATTCTTTAAGTTACAAGTATACGTTTTCCAAATTTGATTTTATTGTATTGTTTATGCAGTCTCTTGGATGCTTAAGTTGGGCCTTCAGCATTTTAGAGAACAAATTGGTAATTGATCAATCAATTGAAAATTTCTGGATTTTAAGACAATTTTTAGGATTATTCAAGCACTCTATCACTCTGAATCCATGCACCAGGTTCTGGCACACAAAACTTAACTAAGAAAAGCTTTGGAATAGGTATGTCTAAAAGTACAGTCGGAGCAAATATTGCGAATTTTTCTGCCATTCAATTTGTGATATTCACTTAAATCATTCTTTTGAAGTTATTTCAAAGTGTTTCTTAGTCAAATGTTGTGTAAAAATACCTGACTCACTACGATGTGATGTGATGCTTGGAAATTCTTGGAAAATGACCTAAAATCCAGAAAGTATCGATGGATTGATCAACTATCGAATTGCTCTCTAAAAAGCTAAAAAACCGCCTTAACAAAGTACTTTGCTGATCTTGTCAGAATTTTAAAAATTTAAAAAGATCAGTGTCACATCCCTTTTAATGTTTACGAATCTTTGGAGAGAAAAAAAGCCTAACCAACTTTTCCATTATCCAAAAGTTTTCTCTTCCCAGAAACTATGTGGATATTAATGATGGATCACTTCACCTTGTTTGAGCGAATGCTCGATGAAAAAATTTGAACAACCTTGTAGATATACGACACATTGACTATTCAGAATGCAGAGATAACACAGAAAAGTAAGACCTAACTGACGATTTTAGTTATTTATTTAAAAATTCAATGTATTCACACCAAAAAAAGAAAACTAACGTACTAACACACACGCAAACATCCTCGCATAAAATTAATCACGAATAGCCAACTCAGTAGTTATCATCCAGACTGAAACAATTTTTCGATAATTTTTCGACAGTTGCTTCTTCAACAATTTCCTTTTTCTTTTTAATGTGAAATTAACATCAATATTCTGAGTGCTAAGGTACTAATACCAATTTCTAGGAAAAGGCTTGTGTAACAAAACCCTGATTTCAAGTGGGCAGTGGATGTTAAGCTTTTAAACAATACTGCAAACATCACAAAGAGATTCTAAATTGACAGTGAAATTGCAGGAATGCATATTTGGATTTGCAGCAGAGAGAATTGTTGGACTATCAACATAGATTAATATAATTCGAACACATGGTAGCGATTTTAAAAATCATTAGTGATTTAAGTTCTATAAATTAAACCAAACAGGAAATTGACCTCTTAGATCACAAAATCTACCTTTGCAGTATAGTGCGCCTAATTTTTCTAGACCACCTGTCACTACACTGCTAAAACAAACGTTTAAAACCCAGTCATACTTCTCTTCAAAATTTTCATGGAGAAAAGATAAAAATACGCTGAAGTGCCTTTCTTTGCCTTTTATCCTCTACTATTCACCTCTACACTCAGAATTAAAGGTCAATCGAGAGTACTTGAAGATACAAAAATAAAAAATAGTCTGGAATGACAACTTTACTCGTTAATTATAAAGTATGTTTTCTTTAGTATCAAAAAGTAAGAAAGTAAGAAAATCTTAGGCTAAAAATAATAATAGGGTTACCAACAATGATTTAGTTATAACTAAAATTAGCTAGAAAGGAATCAACTAGAAAACAGTTAAGCAATAATTATCAAACAGATTATCACACATGTATCTGCATAACAAAAGATAAAAAATACTTAAAAATTGCATTGAAGAACAGGTAAACATAAAGTTTAAGCTGCAGGCATGAAAAATCTCCAATTTTCAGGAAAAAGGAGCCTTGTGCAAGAGTTTTTTTTCTTTGATAGATGTGCTTTGAGAGAAAAAACAAATGAAGAAAATTGTCGGTGAACTTCACACCAGAATCGTGCTTTAGAACTGATCAGGATCAGCGAATGTAACGTTCAAAGACGACAGTCTTGATGAAGAGATAGAGTGAGGAGATGATCTACAAGTTAACCCTTCTTCAAAAGACTATTTTTGGATCAGAGCTAGAGTTTGAAATAAGTAGTTAGAACGATAAGAAGGGCATACATTTACACATCTTTGAATTATTCAATGGAGATTCAGTGGAAAGTTCAGGCCTGTAAGAGCAGAAAACAGATTTTGACAGCAGATTCTTCGGTGATACGTTTCTGGGCCTATTTCAAACGTTGAGGAGTTACTTCTGTGCAGAGACTAAGCTAACATACAATAATTTAAAGGGGCAAACATAGAAAACGAAAAAAAAGTTCCTTGCAGAGAATACTATGCTAACATTTAGAAGGATCCCTTCAGAAATATAAAAATAATAGCCATAAAATAAAATAGAGAAAACTTGCTGACTAAATCAAAAAAGCAAAGAGTACAATTGAAAAAATCAAATATTTTGATGGGCGAACTCAATGTTTTCAAAAAACCAAATCTTAGTCCTGACATCAAAAATGTTTTTGATCATAAATGTGACTTTATGACAAACATTTGGAGTTAACTTCTTACAAGTTTTCATAGCATTAAAATTGGATGAAATTCGTTGACTGGAATATAGTTCGACACTGAAGAGATCCAAATTGCAAAATTGTAGGGATCCTTGTAGAACCAAATACATTTAAGTTTAGGACATTTTCATGATTCTGGATGGTGAACACCTAGATTTTCCTTTATCGCTACTTGAAAAAGTAAATGATGTCCTGTTATTGCAAGGACATTAACAGCAAAAATAAGTATAAAATCAAATTCTCCTGTCAATTTGAAAGCATGAATGTTTTATTAAGACAACGATGAAGTCTTGAACTTGCCTGCTAGCTCTAACTATTATGAGCACCATAATCTGTTTGAAATTAACATCTTTGGAACTCTCAGAAGACAGCTTCTGAGATAAGAAAGAAGAAGTAATTTAGAAAGAAAAAGATTGAGAGAAAGAGAGAGAGAAAAAAACTAGATAACTAAAACAACACAGGCTATATCCTTTGGAGCCTCCGCAGGGAGCTTCTATCATTGTTTTCATAATTTTCTAATATCAACAAATCACTCTTTAAAAAGGGTAGGTACAATATCGAAATCGAAACTAGAAAACCTCATACACAGAGTGTTCTCAAAATTATGTTCCTGCCTTAATTTTTTCAATGGGAAAGAATCCAATGTTGAATTTTGACAGATTATCGAGGAGTTTGAGAAACGATGTTGAATCATTTTCCATTGAAAAAATAGAAGCTAGCGACATCATTAATATATGTATGTGACTTCCTAGTTTTGCCGTCATTAAACCTAATAGAAGTTACCTATTTTTGACACTGTGAATCGTGTTAAGAAAGGACGGCCTGGCAGTAACCAGATCTACAGCAATTATAAATACAAAGCAGGCAATGGACTGTGAAATTCTATAAAATTAACCTAAACAAGATCTGAAACAATATTTAAAATCTTGAGTTGCATTTTTTTGAGAAAAAAATTATTAACTCTTGATTATACAAGTATTGGATAATGTAGAAGAAAACTAAATTCCCCTCCAAATCACTAGATTTTCAACAAACCAGAACAGTAAAGAGACTTTAAAAGTTGCAATGATGTGAAGAATCTGGCAGCGAGAGATTAAGAAAAATAGAAATAATATTAGAATGGTCAACAATTTGTGCCAATGAATTGATTTTATCAAACTTCTGGAGGGTTTGAAACTTTTCTTTCACAAAAAATTCATTTTTTGACTTAGATGCACCGAAAGATGAAGGGTTTTCCCAATGAAACTTTATGGAGTTATGAAAGTAAATTTGGCTGAACAGAGGATTCAATGCTGTATTCAACAAGGGCTTCCTGAACACTGAATACATTTTTAGGGTACCAATGGACTCAGAGGAGAAAAAATCCTCTACCAATTCTAGTTTTCCATCACCAAAATGAAGCAAATTCTCTCTTTTTTCCTATCAACGATTAACAGAAATTCATCAAAAAGGGTCAATTTCTATCATTAGTTTTAAAATTAACTATGTTCTCAGTTTTTTACTCTTTGCTATTGTGCANGGGGGGGGGGGGGGGGGGGGGGGGGGGAATGAAAAATGTGGCGTTTTTAAGGAACTTTTCTCCCTGATGTTCTCAAATATTTCAGCCCTGAAAGCCAATTGCTGACATTTTTTCTCGATTGATGGGACATGATGAGACTAAGCTTATATGAAGGTATTCATAAAAGGAAGTATGTGCACAAGGTTTGTGCGCAAAGTTCCTTTTGGCAAAAATACATCCAAATAGAGGTGACACTAAATTAGTTGTGACGCTTCATCTTTCTTCGTGTCTCCATCAGGACAAATAACCAGTTGATTATCCATCCTGATTAAGGCACGAGAATCAAGTAATGTGATGACCAATCGCACAGCTCTCTTTTGGCTAAGTCGCAAACACTCCTTCGATTAAATAATTGCAAAAATTGGTCTCTTAACCCTTTCCGGTCCGCGGCAGTTTTCCACGGCCGTCGTTAAGTGAGGTTAAGGTAGCAGCGATGTTGTCAACAAAGACAGTGGTTTCCAAAGGCTCCACCAGAGGCCGCCACTTGCTGGAGCAGTCGAATATACCCGATATCGGGCCTGCACAGAAGTTCAAACTTTTGGGCGACTATAGGGTAACCTCGAACTCCAGTGCTTATTGCTTTGCTTCTCGCTCCTAGAGTGGGTACTCCAGATCCTCACTTCTTATGGCAGGTAACCCAATGCGACGCCATCTTGTCATACGACTGAAGGTTTGAGGTTATGTTTCCTTGTTATCATATTCATGTGCCATGTGTTGAAGTTTTGTTGAAGTGTTCGTTTAAATTTTATCTAGTCATGTAATAACTGTTTCTGAATTATTTTTTTAATCTATATGTACCATGCCTGCTACGTGCTGCGCAGTGCAATGCTCGCATAATGCCAAGAATTGCAAATTAAAAAGATTTCCTGTAAATGAGGTGAGAGCGAAAGTGTGGGAACAAATGCTTCGGAGGAAAAATTTCACGCGGAAAAGTTTCCATCGCATTTGTGCCGTAAGTATGCTTAATATTTCCTTTTCATACTCTGCCTCTGTTTAATCCAGACAATCGAACTGCAACTGGTTTTATCTCTGAGCCATCACAAGCATTCGTGAACTTGATTCGGAATCAGATTATCAGTACATGATTGTAATTTTGCGTCTGATGCATACTATTGTAAGTTTATCAAATGTGCTTTCCATTGAGGAGAGTCTATGAATTTGTTGCTGTACTTCATGCACAGCCGATCACTTCATGTAATGTTATATTTACGCAATGCGAACAAGAATCTCTAGTGTTGCCAGCTTTTGGCCAATCCTNGTGCTGTCCAGTCGGAGAGAAGGGTTATCTTTGGTGAGGTTCAGCATTAGGCAAAACCTGCTTAATTCTAGTCACATTACCAGGAGTGCATTTCAGTGGCAGGCTAAATGTGTGCTGGCTGTTGTAGCTAGTTAGCATGATAGCTAGCTAACATGCTAACATTCATTACTAAAATAGCAATGAAAGTTTTAAATTCTACCAAACAGTGTCCTGCCATTCCTCTGAAATTTTAGGAGCCACTTTGGCCACATTTTTAAGAGCCATCTACAATTTAATAGAAGCCAAATTAAAGTTTTGCATACACTTCATAAGCTGACACTGCTCTGCGATTGCAAGTTTGAAAAAATCAACAGGGTACGTCAGCTTCTTTAGGTAGCACCGTGGCCCAGCCCCCTGATTTTTAAGCGCCAAAGCCCGATTTTTAGGGGTGTTTGGTGCATGGAGGCCGAGGAAAGCAGCACACTACCATGAAATTCACTCATTGCTGGAATTGGAGTCACACAAGAGCCACGACTGAACTCTTCATCGTTTTTTAAGACATAAAAATGGCACAATGTCACAATTAATAGTACAAGTAAAAAAAGCAGTCAAAAAATTAAAGCATACGGCATGGTGAGTTTCATAAAAAATGTTATACTATACATTTCAATGTGTTAAATAGTAAGCTAAGGAGAATAACATGTTTCGTCAAAAGCTTCAGAGGCTCTAGAACAGATTCTTAATTCCAACATAAAGTAAATGTTGATAAGCACACAAGATCCAATTGATCTTGCATGCCAATTGCATGCACAGTTTTGAAGAAATTTGAATCTGCCGCAGGAGGTTCTTGCTTATTCACGCTCAGATTCCTAAAAGCACAATGATTCCGAAGGGCCAATATCAATGAAACCAGTTTCTTTAGCAACATCCAGACATTTTTCATGACTTTAAAGCCTCAGATTACATCTTTCAACTTGACTGATTTCTAGCTTGCTGACTTGTTTCGAAGTGCGTCTTGCCGACAAATAAAAAAGTAAAAAAAGGACACACTTCCACTCAAATTTTTGGAAGATGAGAGGTCAAGAGAAAAATAAAAAAAATTATCGTCAGCCACATTTACATGATCTTTGGATGAAAATATTCAAATAGAACATACCTTCAATGCACATTTCGACTTAAATACAACCTTTTCCACAGCAGTTTTGGGTAATATTGCACAAACTGAGATACACTGACAAGATCAAACAAATTTTGTCATTGAGACTTCATCGAAGCCAGCTTCCTGCTCCTTAATTGGGATTCTTTCCGGATGATCGTGTATTCAAACCATAGAATATTCGGGATTAGCGTAGTATCTCTGATTAGCAAAAACTCGGCTATTTTCCTGCAATGATAGAGTTAGGGAAATATTAAAATTGAGATGAATGAAGCTCCCACTTTTGAACAAAACTAGGACAAAAGTTGAAGCAAAATACAGCCACATTGTCTCAACAAACAGTGAGTCAAAACGGAGAGAATAAGTGAATAAGAAGTTGAATATTAAAAACACAAATTAATATTGACACGGCGAATTAATATTGACGTTGTTACACCACTTATTTATACTTTGGTTTCAATATATTTTGGAAAAATTCTCAAAACAAAAAGGACATGACGAGTCACACACACAAGACATGACAATGTCTGTTTTTGATTTGACAAAATTTCGGCTGCGGAAACAATTTTCAAAGTCGCCAAAAATCCAGTTCATTTAAAATTGAAAAACATGGCACCTAATGATTTCTTGACATAATATAAAGTTGACTGCAATGCATGGTGTCCACACTACCTTCCACTATTCTAAAGCATTTTATCATACATTGTTTTCTGTAGGCGTTCATTCCATCACATGTCTACATATCGCGGTGGAGTGGTAAAAATGGCACAAACAGAAAACTTCCTCCAATAATTTTGTTGGTTCATAAACAGAAACCACACAGCATTGTTTTTATGAGGTCTAGGATGATGAAAGTCATGAGTTGACTGTACTATCGGCCTGCAGGCATTGAAAAGATAGATTAAACCAGAATCAGTCTAACTATTTATCGTGTTGCTTGATTTCCCCTCATGTTTTATTTGGTTAACAGAAATTTAAATAACATAACGCCTCGAAACTTCCTGTGGATTTCCATTCCATTATCAAGAGGAAACTCACAAACTTTTAAGTTGGAATGTTTTGAACAGGAAAATGAGAGACTCGAGAATTTCAACAAAATCCAGACTTGCAAAAAATTTTTGAGACCTAAAAAAAACACCTTCAGGTGGGAATTTTTTTTACAATCTATCATTCTCTACCACTGCCGAGAGGCGGCAACTAAATAGGGGATAAACAATGCTCTTTCATATTCTAGAAGTTCTCATTGGTAAACAAGGCTGCTCCTCTAAATGCCCAAAAACAAAAAGATCAGGAATCAAGACACTCGTGCAACCTCCCTGACAGCAAAGATATTGAATTTAGTGAGAATGAAAACGCATCAACTTGGGAAAATGGGGATGTTCAAGAGACACAAAAAACTGTATAGTAGGTGAAGAGGTTGGTCTGAGGAAAAAGCCTTTTGGTGGCAAAGAACAAGAACTTTGGGACCCTCTAAAATTCCCAGTTGACATAGATGCGTCATCTTCGATAGCTTTTTGTCGTCTTATCTAGATCTATATAGAGCATCAACCCTATGATGAATGATGATGTAACTTGTTTACTTGGTTTCCTGTTTGTGAATCTCTCTATATCAATACAATCACTCTTTCTTATAGCTACAGTGGGTCGCAAGTCAAGCACTTTAGAATAAAACATGTGGTACTTGAGCCTATTTTTGTTTGTAATTTTCACATCTTCAATCCAACAGTTTTGTGAAAATTGAGCAACTTTAAGGAAATATGGGCATTTTTAAGTACCAAGTTGGTGCGTTTTCATTCGCGAAGATTCATATAGGAACTTAAAAAATAATAGCAGAAAAAAAAACAAAAAGCTCAGGTATATTTGAGAATTATCCAAGACATTTTGAGCGGTGTATCAAGGGTATCTAACGATGAATATCAACTTACCAAGAGACGACAATGGGAAAAAGTGGAGTGAGGAAAATGTGGACGATTCCAAACCAGAACGAGCCAAAAAAGATGCCTGTAAAGGCTCCGTAAGTTACTTGTCGCCAAGTGTGGTACTGTAAGTAGATTCGACTGTAAGACACGACCAATGCTAGTACGATACAACCAAGTGCTACAACAGACTTTCCTATATACTCCTTTGAAGGGTCTATGCTGTCATTCCGCGAGTGGAGATGTAACCTGCAATGACACAGACAAGCACTTAGTTGGGCAGATACGTTTGATTCATTGGTAGCTGCAGAAAGAACCATTGAAAAAGGACTGCCTCAGGGCATCACAGTATAGCTTGGCCGACTAGGAAAATTAGCAACATTTTGCTATTTAGAACTTCCACAGTGCCTAAAAGGGTCCTTCAGAAATTTAAGAGCTTTTTCCTGACGACTGAGGAAAACTAAGGCCTTCTCATGGGGAAAAAAGAAGCAACTATTTTTGCCATGTGTATTTGCGGCTAGCTTCTAAGCTACAAGGACAGACAAATTGTGAAAAACTGGCATTACGATTTAATCAGGATGTCTACTGAAACAGGCTGGCCAAAAATCAGCACTTTTTCAGTACATTCCCAAGAAATTCAGTACCTCCTCAAGAGAAAAATTCAGTACTTTTTCAGTAAGTACCTCTAACTGATGAGATTCGAAAAATTTCAAAAATTTGAATTTCTCGCTCAAATTGCGACAAAAATGGCCAAAAAATGAAAAAAATTCTGGACCTATGGGAGGAATTTCTGCACTTTTCAGTACTTCTGGACCGCCCTTGAAAAATCAGTACTATTTTCGGACTTTCAAAAAATTCCGGTCTTGTAGACACCCTGATTAATACTGTCAGAGCCCTTCTCTCTTGACAGTACAAGATCTGGAGAGACAAAATTACCTTGCAATGTCTGAATCGCTCATCATCGTCAATACTTAATCATAAATACATTTTTGGTGCTAGAACAAAAGATACAATACCTGAGAAAAATGAAGTAAGCCATGTAAGATGCAAAAAACCAAATAAACTGGGAATGAGACGAGGGCATTCCATATTCATTGTACAAATTGTTGACGTTTCGCAATAGCGGCCGTGGTTCACAGATTGCATGCTTCAGGGCGACGTTTAGTACTTCGTTAAGTAGAGTGCCAAAGAAAAATACAATCTAAAGCAAACAAGGAGACATGCATTTTTTCAACTATGGAATCGTACTGATCAAGAGGGTTTTGTGAACATGTCTGACAAAAAGTTGAAAACTGCTTAGTTGGGAGGACAATTTATTGATGTTTACAATAAACTCACTCTATATCTCTGAAATCCAATACCTACTACTTGAAAACTCTGTTGCATTCTGCCGTGCTAAGGAAGAACGCCGTATGAGCATTCGAGAGTTGCCAAATTTCCTTCCATAAAATGTTTATTTTTGAGGAAAGTTATGAATATTTTTTCTTGAAATTTTTAGGAACTTTGGGTGAAATTGCGAGCAAAATTATCTGAAACATTGAAAGAAAAATATTCACACGTTTACCAAGAAATTCGTGTTTTATCAATCAAAATTTGGCGACGTCTGACGGTTCATACAGCATTTTTCCTTAACGCGGCAGCATTTCTACCGAGACTTAAACTGTAAAAGACCGTAAGCTGTCATAATAGCTTACTCTGAATGGATCACTAGCTAATAAATAAATAAATAATAATAATAAAAAAAAATTGTATGAAAACAGAAATTAGTACCAGTTGTAAAATTATTATACCTTCGTCAAAATGTTGTAATTGTTAAATACATGTACGTTATCTTCTTTATGTATAGAACTATTTATACCTGCCCATCTTAACTTGCTTCATTGCTTTAAATAGAAAAGTAGACAGCCACCATACAAGACTTTGGATCTTGGTAGCTGAGTATGTAGTAGTAAAAATGTAAAATTTGTGATGAAATGTATCAAATGAATATAATCTTTTCCTTAATGGGACTTTCAGGCTTCATAAATTTGTTGCTGGAAATGTTGTAAAGTAAGAAAATTTAGAATTTAGAATGGATATGAGGTAGGACTTCTTTCTGAAGAATATCAAGGATTGATGTGCGAGTTCATAAATTATATTGTGGAGTATAATATTAAAAAATAAATAAAATAAATTAATAAAATGAAAAATGCAAACACAGAAATGATACTTACCGTGTGTAGGTCTTTGCGGAATAAAATCAATGTTACAAAGCCAGAGCCAATCGCAAAAGGTAGTAAGCTTATCATCGCCAAACATTTGCCCAGCCAATCACCTAAAAAAAAGGTCAGGTAAATTTAGTTAATTCGTCTCACCAAATTGACATTACTTATTTGACAGCACCATCATGTACTTACTGATTATTTCCTTGAAAACATAAAAATTATTTCTTAATGTCAGAAGCAGCCAGTATGCTTTTAAATAGGTGCTTGGTATTGACACCGTAAGAATGTACTACCTACTTACATGGTTTGCTTTACAAATAGAAATATTTCCCTCTATTCTCACTGTTTGTGACCCTTCGAATGAAAAACTTTTAAAGAGAGCACGTTATTGAATTTTGTTTTGAAAATATACTTTCCTGAATAATATGCTCGAGTTTTACCTCAAAATCCTGTATATCTAGTCAGCTTCATTTTCTAATGGACTTTTTCTGTGAAAAAGTGTGAATCACAATCTAGAAAAAGGACTCTAGTTTTTTTTTAGTTCCTTGTGGAGACAAAGATGGTGCTTTTCTTTGCAGGCTACTGAAAGGTACACCTAATGAAAGAAATCATGATCAGCGTTCTCTTAGATTTGAATAAATCGTGTCTCAAAAGCGTTTGTTAAATCATATGCTGTCTACCATCCTTTGAATGTTCCATGTGTATCTAGCTCGACATTATTGCAATTTCTCAGAACTAACTTTTTACTCTGAGAGAGCAGTTTTGGGTGAAAGAATCATAAAATTAAATCAGATCAGATTGGACAGTCGTAGTCCCTAGACAGCTGAAACATTAGCGGAGAGGTGAGCTAATATTTTGGATTGAGGATAGAATAATACAGTAAGTACATACCTTGGGGGTATTCGACAAGAGTTAATGACAACGGCACCCATTCCGGCTGATTGTCGGCGATATTATCACTTAAATTATTCATTGAATCGCTCATACTCCTAGCTCACAACCACTTTACGACATCATACAGAAAATCAAAACAAATCTGGATACTGTTATAGATACGTAAAGAGAACAGAGGGACCGATTGCCTAGCAATGTCGTGATGAAGATCAATTGATCAATTAGAGAGAGAGAGTTGAGTTATTTATTTTATGAAAGTATAATGAGAAAATGGGAAAAGCATGAGTTTTTCCAGGGTAATTGAAGAAATTTCACAAAGTCTTTCGGAAAATTCTTATTTCATGAAAGAGAAACACAGAAAACCTAAAACCAACACAGAACGAAATCGGATCGGATGCACGAGATGCGATGCACGGAGTGCGAACTCTGTCTCAGGAGACTTTCGATGCTCCGAAGTCAGCTGATACGAAAACTGTCGGAATTTTTTGGTTATCTACTTATCTAGCGCAACTAATCAATAAAATTTTAAAAATTCTTTTGTTGATCTCCCTATTAGTTATTTCGCGTGCTTAATTTTGTAATTAAACCGATCTGCATCGTCATGGATTTCAACGTCAAAAAATTAGTCCGTGAGGCTGGAAATGCAATCAGTCGCTATGTTCAAGTAAGTTGTCATCTGATTTGTTGATGTTCAGGGAACTGTACAAATCTCATGCTTACTTACCTTAAAGTCTTTGTGCCAAATGTTTCTTGAATATCTCTCAGGCCCTTCGTTACGACAGATTATATCGCTCAAATACTCATCGTCTTTTCCAACCCTGACTCGATAATCTGAGGAATGCCATACAATGATCAAATGTTCAGTTATCCGATCTTTGCATCCATGTTTACCTCCACTGTATTTGGACTGTTGTTTCTCTTGCTCAAAATTTTGAAGAATCTAATCTCTTGAGTCTCTCTTGCCTGTGTGTTGATTTTCAGTGTCCAGATCTGTCTTATTATTTTGAGAGGACAATGCTGGTTTTTCTCTTTTCTTCAAAAATTTCGGAGTATAAAATTCCAAGATGAGCATAAAATTCATGTGTTTTTCCATTATCTAAGACCATCAGCTTTTTTCCAACTGATGATGTGAACAAAACAGATGAAAACTCTAGCTCAAGTCCCTTAATTTCGAGTCTTCCTCAACTAGACAACAGTATCTGATTGATAAATTGGAAATAGTTTCCATTTTACCTGGCCCAGCGAAGGCAACTGTTTTAATCTTTTACATCTGGCGATTTCATGATTCTGTGTCGCTATTATGTGGTATATAATCAAGTGAAACACTGGCCCCTCCTATTACTGTAATCCAAGTCGCCGCATTAACTTATTCTCTGCCGTTTCAAAATCGTCTAAATTATCGCCTAATGGGGGCTGCAATGAATCACAGTCGAGATTAATAATCCTAAAAATTTCCACCAGTTGTCATGCTGATATGGATATTTGTAACTTTGAAGACGGTTTCTTTTTGTGAGAGTGCTGTGGTTATTTCAAAGCTACCCACTCATTCATGCAAGCAAGCACTCATGCAATTAATTGAGTCAGTGAGTGGCATCCTGCGTACCTACTGCCCTATTATTCTGACTTTTTTATCTTGCCCAAGAACAACTTTTCCCCAAACTATGTTTACAAGGAAGAAAAAATGGCAGGCAGTAAGTCTTAGATGTCCTATGTGATCATTAACAACTCCCATTATTACTATCAAATGAAATAGTTTTAGATAGGCGAAAATTTGCACACCGCCTCTCCTGCTTGAGAATTTATCAACATTATTTTTCTTGCTCAGGTCAGTAGGCCTCTAATTTTTGCTTTGTCTTTGACAGTTGACAGAAGAGAAATTGGGAACATCGGACAGAACGGAATTCGACGTTCTTTTCGAAAACTTGGCTGAATTGTCTGACAACACTAAAAACTGGACCGAAAAAATACTCCGAGACACAGAAGCTGTTCTGACACCTAATCCTGGTATACTCCCCATCACTTAGTAGATTTTTTTCATAATGTTGGCCATCTCTTTGGATTTCTGTTTAGGTACATCTTGCTCTGCGATGTTTTTGACCCAAAGTCAAATGTTTTAAAGAACGGGAGTAATGTATGTTCGCTCTGGAAGAAAAATATTCACATGCAGTCTTTAGGGTCAATATTTTATTTTTCATTCTTTTGCTCCTTTTAGGTTTCCAAAACTTGGATTTCAGAATTTTCATTGGATTAAGTACAAGTTTGGAAATCAAAATGTCCAATTTTCAGCAAAGAGTGAACAGTTTTTTTTTTTAGAATGGATCAATTTCTACCCAAAGGGTTTAACCCTTCTTTGAATTATGTCAGGTACAGATGCATTAAAATGATTTGTGCTGAAGCTTTCAGATTAACATTTACTTTAGCACCCTATTTTCATAGTTGAGAGCCTCATTGAGGTACATGTGTGTTTGCGTCTTCTCTCCTGCATCGTCCAAGCCAATAATTCGTTTTATTTCTGGACATTTGAGAGAAATACTGTATTAAAAAAAAAAAATAAGCAAAATATTGTGAAAAAGTTCATATGATTTATGGTAGTCACCCTCAAAATTTCTTATTCATTCTTCTCCATTAAGTTTTTCTTCTATTCTAAAATTCTCAGGGAATCGAGTGGAAGACTATCTTTTTGAAAAGATTGACAAGAAGAAACCAAATCGCCTTAGCAACCTAGAATACCTTGGACTTGACATGATAGAAGCAGGAAATGACTTTGGGCCAGGCACCTCCTATGGTAAGACGTTATCATGTGGTTTTTCTCAAGTAGATAAAATTTACAAATTAATTGGTTAACAAGGTTTCTAGCCACACTTTCATATGCGTAGCATTTTTATTAAAATTTACTATATGTATTACTGTCTCATTTGGAGATCACCTATCCCTTGTCTGATAATCCATAGTTTTCAGTGATGAGAAAAGTATGATTTTTCATTTGAATTTTGGCAGAAAATCTGAATACTTATAAACTCAGGTGATTTCAGCACTAAGTATCCTATAAATGAGTATCAGTAGCAGTGACTGAGGTAAGTAGGCTTAAAACAAAAGAAAATACAAGGAAACGGATATCCATAATATTGATTTTCTGAATATGTGTGTGCAAGTGCAATGCAAAACCAGTTTTCTGCAACATCCTTGGAAAATTATAGAAAAGCAAGTTGTAAAATTTCTATATCTTCATAATTTTTAACTGTCAAACCACATTTGTGGAGAAAATTGGAGGAAACACAATTGTAGTGTTTAATATTACTGAACCTCTGTTCAATCAGGCAATGCTTTGATTAAAGTCGGACAGTACGAACAGAAACTTGGCGTTGTAGAACGAGAATTCATTGCTGCAGCCAACCAGTGTTTCAGTACCCCGCTTCAAAAATTCCTAGACAATGAAATGAAGACAGTCAGCAAGGAGCGCAGCATCCTTGAAAGTAAAAGGTAATTTTTTTTGTTTGAATCAACCCCTGCTCGATCATGGAAAAACAAGGTTGTGCACTGGTGAAGGAAAGTCATATAGCCCATGATTGGACTACATTCTACAATTCAGAACTACAATTTTTGGCTCAGCAAAAAAAAACAATGTATGTACCTTTAGTTTTCCTATGTCAGGGTGTCCACTGGTCCGGAAAGTCCTGAAATAGTACTGATTTTTTAAGGGCAGTCTGGACGTACTGAAAAAGTACAAAAATTCCGCAAGGAGGTTTGAAATTTTTCCGTCATACCACATGTGTATATTTATAAGGCCCGGCAAGTATGCAATCCCCTGCATGTCGATCCTTAGAGTAGTATTTGCTTGCATGATCGCAATCATGCAGTTAGTTAATCTTCAAGCCATTAATGAAATTTTGGGGCTGCGTCTCTCAAATCATCGATAATTCTCGGAATTTTTTCCAATGGAGGTACTGAAAATGTTCTGATTATTTCTGTCGAGGAGGTACTGAATTCTTAGGGAATGCACCAAAAAAGTACGGTGAAAGAACTGATTTTCGGTCAACCTGTTTTAGTAGACAACCTGGAAAAGTGAAGAGTGGAAATTCAAAATCTGGCAAGTGCCATGAGGTGTTGCTGAAATTGTGCATGTCCTTCCTCAGCGTGAAAGAATGCCCCTTCAATTAATGTTAATGAGGAAATTTTCTGTAAATTTTGGTCTCATAGAAACTGTTGCTCAATCATAGCAACACTTGATAGCACTTACCAGGTTTTGAATTGAGATGTTGCATGTGTGAGGAATTTGCGATTTGACTATTGATTCTTTTGTAAAAGTTTGGGAGAAACATGATGGTGCTACTGGTTTTCTCTGAAATCAACTCCCAAGCTCAAAAAAGCTCTCAAGTTGAGGCCAAAATGAAGGGGATATCCCACGCTATCCTGAGAGTCCACCTCTACGTCAATACAAACTCCTAATGCAAAGATAGGGAGCAAATGCATTGACAGGGCTGCCACTTTATTTGGGGACTCTAAAACTGAAAACTTGGCATCCCTGCTAATGTATTTGCTCCCTATCTTTGCATTAAGAGTTTGTATTGATGTAGAGGTGGACTCTCAGGATAGCGTGGGATATCCCCTTCATTTTGGCCTCAACTTGAGAGCTTTTTTTGAGCTTGGGAGTTGATTTCAGAGAAAACCAGTGGCACCCTCATGTTCCTCGCGAACGTTTTGAAAGTGTACCGAAAAAGTACTGTAAAAGCACTGATTTTTGGCCAGCCTGTTTTAGTTGACACCCTGTATGTGCGTAAGTGTTTGTACAGATGAGCCAGAAATTGTAATTCCTACTTGCAAAATGAAGTCCAATTATCAGAAAAATGTGATGGAAAGTCAAGAGTTATTTCTTTCAGGTCATGAAAGAAAAGTAATTCATCGGCTTCCGCTTTTGAAAAAATAAAAATTAAAAAAAAAAAAAAAAAATCAGTGTGTTTCATGCTGAAGTGTCATACTTATGTATTCCAAAATCATGTCTGTAAGTTTCATGGATTCTCCTTGCACCTGTACATTCTCAATAAAGGTTTGCTCCAATTTATAAGTGACCTGAAAAGCAAGACTGTGTGTCAGAATTTGTGAGAATTTGTGTTTGTGAGAGGCTGCGTAATTTTTTGAAAGGAGTAACAGTGACCCATCAAAATAAAATTTTCATGAAAGTGAGAAATTTTTTTCAGGAATCAGCATTAAAGACATTCTGGTTTAAAGTCTGCACTACCCCACAAGGGTATAAATTGTGATTTTTCTCCATTGGAAAGTTTCCTCTGTTAAGAACAACTTCAGAAGTTGTCACTTCTTGTCGAATTCTGCTGATGAAAAATTTGGTTTTTTAACATGCAGGAAATCTCCAACCAAAACTTAGCGCCCATCGGTTTTGCTCAGAAGTGAAGCTGAATCTTGTTATCTCGATTCTCCTTGAAAGACAAGGGAAATTTGCCAATTTCCCGGTGTAAATTTTACTCAGAAAAAGCCCTCTCTTCTTTTTTTCATGGCAACTAAGGGTTTTCTAAACTTACTTGTAGCTCCTCGTAAAATATGTATTCTTGTTTAAAAAAATTGTTAAGTTTAAAGTGAAGAAAATACACCTAAACAGTTTCTCTCACTCTCTCCATTATTTTTGAGTAGCGGAGGGGGTGCTTTTAAAATTTATCCCTAACTCATTGTCTGTTCTAGTTAAAACATCATAATAACCATTGATAAGTAAATTTCAATGCATGGCAATCTTATTTCTCAAAATGTATTTTTTCTATCTCTTCCAGACTGGACTTAGATGCTTGCAAGAATAGAGTACGAAAAGCAAGAGGAATGCTAGGAATGCCAGCCGTAAGTTTCTTTTGCTTTACTATTTTTACCTCTCTGATTCCTTTAAGTCTCTTCCTCTTGAGATTAAATAATCCACCCCAAGAAAAAGGACTTAGAAAATCACATACTTGGCGGACAGTTGTAATCTTAAATTCTAAGTGTCCCTAAGTTAGTGCTTGTAACCTCCAAAGGCTCTGATTTGAAGGGTTGCAAATTTGCTGTGCAAGTCAGTGAGTAACAGCGCAACAAGCTATCAAGGGAACTCAATCGGGCTTCCTTTGACAGATATTTATGTTGCGAACTTATGCAGTAGATTTGCACACCTTAAGTGCTGTACCTTGACCGATTAACTGGTAACTAATTTCAATTTCTGCGCCAGAATCTTGCATTTTGTCTGCAAAATATGTTTTCCCTCAATATATTGCTTTCCTAAGTGTACATGATAAAATATCAGCGATGAGTCTTTTCAACTTTATTGTAGTTTTGTTTATGATGTGCTTAAGAGTCTCAACCTGTCTTTGAAATATTTCTCTTAAATTTTTAAATTCTCTCTTACTCGTTTTGACTGATTTTCCTTAATTTTGAAAGAAGGTCAGAACGAGTGAAGTATCATCAATAACTTGAGAGCTTAAGGTCAAAAAAAGGAATAAATCTTCAACAACCATAGATATCTAAGCAATACTAGTGATGTCTCTCAAAAAATTCAAATTTTATCTAAATTTTCTTATTTTACATGCATACTTTAGAAGGATGGTGTGAGCCCTGAATACGCTTTAGAAGAGGTAATCTACTGGTCTAAAATTCATGTAAATGTTTAAGATTATTTTTTAAATGAAAAAAAAGACGAGTGCGGAATTGATCCATCTGCATGAAAGTAAAAAGAACCTTTACAAGCCAGAATTACTTTTTTGTCTCGAGTTTTCATAATTTAATATAATTCTTGAAAAATAATAAAGTCACCTAGGGAACTCTCACTATTAAGTGTAAATTGGTGATTGATGCTGATGTCCAGTGAAAGCTTGAACCAATTCAAGTTTAAACTGAAGTCTTAATAAAGTCTTGAATGAAATGGAAAAGTTGATAGTTTAATTTGAGGAGCAAATGTGAAGTTTAGCAAGGTGCTACGTAGACCTGTATCGAAAATAGTATCATTGACTGGGTCTATATTTACTTACAAAGAAAGAAAAAAAATACGAAAATTGTGGTTTTAATGCTGTAAGTAACAGGATTTTAGAATAGTGCTGGATCCTATTTCTTTTGCAGAGGAATCAAAGCTAGAAACAGCTAGATTAACATAGCATAGTGATTTAACTTCCCAGTTGTGAGTCCGCTGTTAAATTTCTCCAATTGAAACTCTAATCCTTTTCCAGGCGGAGCGTGATCTGAGGGTGGCTCAGTCAGAATTTGACCGTCAACAAGAAATCACAAAACTGCTGTTAGAAGGAGTTTCCTCTTCGCGAGCAGGGCATCTGCGTTGCCTGCACGAGTTTGTCGAGGCCCAATCAAACTATTACGCTAAGTGCCATGAATTAATGAAAGAGCTGCAACAGGACCTTCAGAGGTAAGAAAGAAAGAAAAGGGACAGTACTTCAAAAGGATAAAGGTCTCCTTTAGAATTTTCATTGTCCTTTAGTACTATCTAAATTATTGGAACCGTGTTTAGCAGAAAGAAACAAAGCCACATCAGCTATTGCCAAATTCAATTAGACATTTTAATTTTTTACAAAAGAACGTTTGTGCTGATTCCTTTGCAAATGTTAAGGAATTTGCTTCGTACTACGCAAAAAATCAACTGAAATTTGCACAAAAATCCGTAGAACTGTTTTCATGCAGAAAATACAATTGCCTAATAAAATTTGGCAACAGCTGATGTGGCTTGGTTCCTTTCTACTCAATGCGGTCCATTATTTTGTCATTTTTAATTTCTTCAACTTCTCTTAATTTCACCAGTGGTAACCCTCAAAGTTGGTTTTAATTTTTAAACAAAGGAAAATTTTATTGGAAAAAACTGTGATATTTGCAACTTAGGAAACTGAGTTTTATAAGCATTACCAAGTAAAATAGTAAATTAATGACCTAACTGCGCTTCTGTCAAAAATAAAGTCATGCTTCGAAAATGTAGACTCTGTGTCGTCTTTCTAGGAAGCCAAAAGGCTCCTGCTCTAAAAGGCTCTTTATTTTGTTAAATTCTTCGAAAAATTCTTCGGAAAAAATTATATGAATCATAATGCAATTTTATCTATTGTAGGCTTAGTGCTTTTTTTTAGCAAGTACCATAGTTTCTTAATTACAAAGAAATGTTGTACAATTTTGTAAAAAGGAATTCAAATAAAATTTAAATTGGCATAATAATAACATTTCCTTAAATTTTTTTAAAAGGTCGGCCTCATTGCCTTATGCGGCTGAATCCTCACAGATGAAGAAATACAGCATAAAAAAAGGGTTAAAAAAATGCTTGTTTAAGCCGCCTATCTGACATTGCTCTGCTTTCATGTTTTGGTTCTAGCGATAGGAAACCCAGTCCTGTTCTACGTTTGAACAGCGAGGAGTTCTCGTCCACTTCAGCGTTTATCGAACCCACTGACGAATCCCAAGCTTAATTCCTTTCTTCAAACTTTCCTTTCTTTTTCTTTCTCTCCATTACTCTTTCTTTCTTTCTTGCATTCTTTTTCTTTCATTTTCTTAGCTTTGTGTCCTCTTTGACATTTTGCTTTTTTTGTTTGGCAAAGATTGAAGCAGTTCAAGTCAGTGTGACTCAATGCCCATTGGTTTTGAGTGCCAGTCAACCAGGCACCTTCCTAATTTTGCAATGAAAGGGATACCAACAGGACTTTTTTACTTATTCGCCCTCAAAATTTGGACAAAATTTATTGTTTGGCCCCATTGATCCCTCGTTAACCATCTTTGAAGCAGGATTTTCACTTTTTCGAAATGCCAACTAGTTCATGAATTTTTAAAGGTTGGTTTAATTTTTCATTCATACACATCCAAAATCGTTCTCCTATCCATAGCTTGTTGCTCATTCATTAGAGATGAAGGTCATGTCATTTTGCCAAAAATGCATCTTGAAGTAATCAGGGTTTTTTAGGAAACTTTGACAGAAAAAAAGCGAGCGCCTCATTATCTAGATTCTAGCTGGAAATTTTTTTTAAACAGAAAATGGGTTTTTTTTTATCAGCTTCTGATTTAGCCTTCTATTCTACCTGTTTGCAGTATCTCTTTCGTTATCATTTCTTGTGCATTTTACTCTTTTGGCTATCTTTTATCCATTTTCCTGCTCACTTTTGCTGGTAATTCTTCCTTTTGGACATCCTCTCCAAATCCTTCCAGGCTCAAATAATAGTTTTTTTCCCCGAATAGATTGATTTATTTTATTTTTATTTCTAAACAGATGTATCCATAGAATGTTGGTATTATTTTTTTGTCTTATTTTCCCTAGTTCCTCCTCCAACCCCCAACATTCGAGCACGAGTAATTTGCAGTCATCGGGGCAAAAAGCAAAAGCTCTCTGTGATTACGAAGCCAAAGACTCCACAGAACTTAGCGTATCAGCTGATGAGGTATGTAAAATGTCATTCAGCAGGAAATTTCATAGATGTAAAAAAATTCATAATAGATCATAGAAGAAGATTGCCCACCAAGCATCACAGTACATGTTTTTCTATCAAAAGTTAATGTAGAAAATAGCGGAAGTACGGAAATCCCCAGATTAAATGTACAAGTGGGAAAGCAGTGTTTACGATATATGCAAAGGCACCTCCTCTACCCAAATTCTTTAAGAATTAAATTGGGCTTTGAACTAATTTTAGCTTGCTTTATGATGGAATAAATTTCTCAGCTGTAACAGCTGAATTTCTCTGGACAAGCTAATGAATACTGTGCATCAGTATAAGGTGAAAATTTCTATGAATTGGCCTATTTCAAACTTTTGCTAGGGCAAAAATAAGAGTTGTTCCTTACAGACAATGTCTCAAAAATTACAACAAGCGCATCGGCAAAGTCTGGAATGGGCTCCTAACCTCACAATCTGTGTGAGAAAGCGTTTCCTTAGCTTGCCACTTCAAATACGATATTATGGCACAGGTGAACATTCCGTTATAGGAGTTGTTCCATCTAACTCGTGCTCAATAGGATGCTACTCTATATTCAGCATGGATGCCAATCACAATTTTGAATTTTGTTGAGCAGAGAGGAAAATTCCCCGTAGTTTTTAAATAATAATATCGATCAGTTTTCAAATTAAAAATGATAAATGATGGTATATCTGTAGTAATGTAAGTAAAAAATCTGTGGTTTCCGAGTCAGCCTCTTCCACCTGAATTGTTTTTCAGGGTCGTCTGTTTTGAATTCGCGCTTGAACGCTTAAACACTCAAGCACAACTAGTAATGATCCTGTCTCTTAGGAATCAGTTTTTAAGTACAAAGCGAGGTGAGCAAAAATGAGCGGACAGAGATCTCTAGAGGTATGAAATAAGGACTAAGGATCTCTGATCATTTCAGAACGTTTTTACAGAGTTCAGCCTGTCATTTTACTATTCCCTTTTTGTCGAGCGAAACCAGTAAAGCAATTCTATAAACTGGAAGGTGACACTCAAGCGCAATAGGTCATGCCATCGATATTACCCTTAGTATTCATGAATCAGAAACTTCCATCTCTTCATCTGATCTTTATTTTTCCATTTTTAGGTAGTGACTGTTCTGTCTGAATGTAGTGACAACCCTGACTATGTAAATTGTGAAAAAGGAACGCAGCATGGACGAATTCCAAAGATGTACTTGCTGTTCAAATAAAGCACTCTGCAATTCAAAGGCATCTCTTGCTTTCGTCGCTGGAGGTTTGCGTCTTCTGACTGCATTTAATCAGTTGTGATTACATTTTTAATTTAAGTCAAGTCTCCTCCCATTTATTAGTCTGATCACTCTATACTCATTAATATTAACAAATACTGTTTAGACACATTTCAGATACTATGAATTCTTCAAATCGAAAGATGTTTTGTGAGTCATTACTCAAGGAATAGACGGAGGTCTAGTATGTTACAGTAAACTAGAGTCAGAGATTTATAAAAATACTCATTTGCAATGCCTCGATTTACGAGAGTAATCCCAAAAGTCTTGCGCGTTTTGCTCTCATTCCAAAACTATTAATGATAGGGAAAACCTGATTAGATGCACATATGAAGCATACTTTTCGCTTTAATGTAAGCTCAAGTTTGTACAAATCAAATGAACAGGATGCTCAGGAGGTCATTTCTCCCACGATGCCTTCGATGCGTTTACCGCCCCTTCCAGGCGCGCGATAAGACAGCTTTTTCGGAGCCAACCTGGCACGAATTGTTTTAAATTCAATCATTTATGAACAATCTGATATAAGACATATGAAGACATAACAGGAAAATATTCGAGCATCTTTTTAAGTGTCATTCGGCGATTTTCGCGGGTAAAAGCGTCGATTCATTGCACTAAGTCACTATCCATCACACTTGGCCTATCATCTTGGGCTTCATCGTGCACTTCTGTTCTTCTCTGCGACACGATTGGTGCAACCTCCGGACATTTTCATTGTTCATCGCATTTTCACGCGCATGACCTAACACCTTCCAAAGTCAAAAATTGAATTATTGAACTTCACAGTTCTCTGGCTTTGCAAGTGCCATAACTTTACAACACACTTTACACAATAAGCTTGCACAAATGTCGAAAGAACACCGATTGCACTCACCATTGAAGGCCTAAAAAACAGCATGCTGAACAGGGTAACAACCTGGTGAAAAATATTGAGAAGGATTTCAATGCGATTGGATCAGATTGGCCGTAACCGTCCGCACATTTTACTTAATACGGATACTGTGTGCTTGGAGGTGGCAGTAAATGCATCAAAGGCTGGGAGGGAGAAATGACCTCCTGTTCATCCGATTTTTAAAACTATGGTCTAAATTAAAGCTGAAAGTATGCTTCATATGTGCATCTAATTGGATTTTTTCCATCTTTAATAGTTTTGAAATGAGAGCAAAACGCGTAAGACTTATGGGATTACCCTCGTACCTAGAGGGCTTTTTAGTTAATTTGATTCCGAGAGAAAAGGACAAGATTAAATCTATGAAAAGAAATGAAATGAATTGGTCTCTTCTGGATGAATTTTGCTGTCAATTCTTCGTATCAAAAATTCTTTTTTTGAGGTCTGAAAATTATGAATTACAGCTTAAAATAATGAGATTTGTCTTACAATAAGTTCCTACATCTGATAGTTTCGGAGATATTGCTTGCAGGTGATGTCATCCAACAAGTTTTTTAAGACCTTTAGTCCGTTGTTATTGAACTCAACATCTTGACGTTTAGTTGGGTCTTGTTCTTCTTTGCTAATTTACAAAATCTATGTCGAGACACAATTGTAGAGGCATCCCATTTGATCATCAGTTTGGCAGGCATTGAGAAAATAGAAACGTACTTAAATCCCCTCATTTTGAAAGTTTTTTCCAAGCTCTTGAAAATTTATCAAATTCGAATTTTATCCAAATTCCCTTTCATCCAATTTTCGACAGTATTGTCGAGTTTGCCAATGTGTGTTAAAGTTCAGTATACTAAGATTAAATTTTGGAATATAACTTTTGAACATCTTTTACCACGTTCAAGTAATCAGAATGAAATTTTTTGTTTCAAAATTGTAATTTTGCTTTCGAAGTCTTGAGATTACAGGAGGATGAAACACTTTTTGTTAGTCAGACATTTTGTCAATCAGTCAGATAGCCATTAAGATCAGTGAGCCTGGAAAGATACCAATGGTGACACTTTGAAACCTTGTATCTACAACATTCCATCTACAACATTCAAGGTGCTGTTTTTAATTGATAATGATGTGTTGCTGTGCTTATAAAAAGAAATTACTGTTGCCCTGTGTTGCAAATGCAAAATAACACTGCATTTTTTGTAAATTCAGCTCGTAATTTTTTGAAGTTTCTTTTCACTACTTTGCAAATCGGAAGGGAAGATATTTACCCGCATCATCTTTTTTGCTTGTGATAATGAGTTTTAGTGATATGTATGCAAATTATTACCTATCCTTATGAAATTACACCACAAATGATGTACTCAGTTCATGAAATACCTAACACTGAATTTCAGATTTCTTGACACCTTCCTCCTCCTCGTGGTGCTTCTGTGCCGTGGGTCCCTATCCTTCAATATCTGGAAACAAAGTGGCGCAATGCTCTCCTCATTCCCTATCTACCCTTATATCATTATGCTTTTTATGAACGGCTCCTTAGTATTTTCAATAACTTTCACTAACAAGATGTATCACTATCAGTGAAAAAAATGTTCTGCACTGTAACTTTATTGCTCAGATATATTGCAACCGATCAGCAAATCTTTGTGTTGGTCTGTCGGCTGATTGTTGAAATTGATAGACAAAGCTATAGACAAGGAAGACAAAAGGGATACGGAGGGATCTTATTGGTGGAAAGGGGTGGTTGTAATGGACAAAGTAGGTAGGTAATAGACAAATCAACGGGAACCCACGAAAGACCCTATAGCTAGTCCATTATTTTCTCTCTAGGAATCACCCATTTCAACCAATATACTTCTTATGTCTTTTTTGTCTATTACTCTGTCTATCAATTTCAACAATCAGCCCGCAGGCTACTTTATTTTCAATTTTAGGATCTAGGGTATCTTTGTTCTCATCAAACATTAGTGTTTTTATCCTGACAAATATTTTGTCTTGGAATTACTCTCAAATTCTGTACTCTCCCATATTAACGTTATCATTCTTCCAGTTCTTGCAAGAATGTATCAAGGTTTGTCATTGACGCTGTAAGATGATTGGAGGCCTCAGGGGCCGTTCATTTAATAAGGAATATTAAATTTCGGATTTTTTTACCCTCTCCCCTCGCCTCTTCTGACTGAACGTTTTTGTGCTATCTTCAAAAAGTACAAACAAAACGGCATATTGCTCTGCTCGACC